GTATTAATTAGTACTTATTATTACTATAACTATTAGACTATTATATATATATATATATATATTATTTTTTTTATTTAAATTTTAAATTAAAATCAATTTTTCCCTAAGAAAATAAAAACGTCTTTTTAAATACAAAGATGAAATACTTCTTTCATTTGGATACTGCACAGAACATTAGAAGACTGTAGAATAACTTGGTGTTATTATCGTAGTCCAATCAGACTATACCTTTGTTACAAGTAGTATACCTCACAGGTTAGTACTCGAACCTTTGCCCTTTCTTATTTATAAAGACAAAACAAAAGCTACTGACTTATTGTTGAGAGTTGAAAGGACTACAACTACTAGAATTATTACAGAGATAAAGATCTCTTAACACATTTTTTCTTGAGAGAAGGGTAAGTTTACAAGATTATCTGAGGGATTAATAGAATAAAGACCCCTGATTTCTTTGTGCTGTACTCTAAATACAACACTATGAGAGAGCAACTTTAAAATTTGGAAAGACTAGACTCAGTTAAGATATGTTTATTTTGCTAACAAGATGATTATTTTAAGGAATAAGTTGTCATTCAAGTCATGGCATGTTACAGAGGGAAATCCACGATTTCATAAAAATTGAATGTTGTATTGGCCCAATGCATCAAGTGATCTAAATCTCCATTTAAATCTGCAGCATCTTTGATGCAGTTAGCCACCCCAAAAATCTTAATGTCATCTATAAACGTTTTTTTGTTAGACATTCGAGTCAATATAGCCACTTGTTATCTGTATATTAATAATTATGTTCTCTTAAACTTCAATTAGTCATCACATTATCCATGACACTAGGTGTAAAAATGCCAAAGAACAAAATTAGTAAGTACACATTGTTCTGTTGCAATGTTGTTCTTTCCTTGGGCTGGTTTGTAAATTATGTGGTAAAAATAATTTTAATTCCAGTCTATGTAATAATAAGTTAATTTCTTTCTTAATGTTTCTACAAGCTATTAGTATTACATGTTGTAGCTTGTAGATGTAATCTTATAAATGACATTCAAACAGAAATAACTCACTAATGGTAATAAGACTAATGTACAACTACAGTACAAGTAAACTTACTTGTAAAATTTCATAGCTAACTGATTGAGTAACTGAATATACACAATAATTAACAGTGATCCAAATACTTCACTGAAACTAAATAGTTGAAAGACTAAGACTTCATCAACTACCACTCAGCAATCACACACATTAAATACTTCACCCTGACATGTACTACTTCTTTCCACTACTAATTGGTATTTTTAATTTCAATAATTGAGATTTTGCTTTCAGATATTAATTGAGGTTACTATAGTTTGTGGCACTATCTAGAATACTCTACTAACTGGTAGGTATTCAGTTTGTAAGACTAATGTCATATGCCCCCTTGCTAACATCTAAACTAAAACACTACAAAAAATATCTTACAATAATATGATAGTTTTTTCTTTTGTGATATAACACTGCCTTTATCAGTTTATGGTAAACTACTAATAATAGTATTAGTAATACTATATTGGTTATTTATAACAGTAATACTAATTACTGTTAGTACTAGTAGTACCACTATTTCCATACTTCGGTCAGCAGGAGATATTAAATTTACTAGTATTACTATCAGTAATAGTGATACTTAAAATAATTATGTTTAATACTAACTTAGCTAATCTAAGCCTAACTGTTTAACTTGTATGATAGGCCTAATTGCAAGTGTCATATTGTCACTGTAAGTGTAATAGTAATACTAACAGTAGAATTAGTGAGTGTCACTATAACATCAACAGTATAAGTTGTAACATTAGTAGTAGTAACATTAACAATAAGTTAAAACTTTACCTTCCCGAGTCATAGGCTCCCCACTTTAAGTACTTACCAAAAAATGCTAAAAGTTCACCTTCCTGGTCCTCTTCTGGAGAATTAAAGTCGAGAAACATTGGACAACGAAATTCATACTTCGAATCTTCCATTTCAAAAGTGCTACAAGTTCTTCTAATACCTATAGTATGCATATAATACTACCGTTAAACGTTCAATTCAAATTGCAGCGCTTCTTCAGACCCTCCAATCACAATTCATTTCAACATTCAACACAACTCAGTCGACGTATTTACTGTTTCAAAAAACATAACAAAAAACGTGAATTATATTCAAATAAAGAAATATTTTGTATGCTCATGAGAGCTTTCGAAATAAAAAGTCAAATGAGACTTAATTAAACAATCATAAACCTAACAATCTATCCAACAACAAAAAACAAAAACACAGAATAATTGGTGATCATTCTAAACATATTCGTCTAGTTGTAAGGAATCACAAAATATTAAACGAAATGGCGCTAAATTTCCCAAATATGTCCAAGAAGGAAGATACATGACATATTTTATGACTCATCTATCTTTCGTAGTTTATGCAAAGTGTAGTTAACCAGATGAGAAAATTGGGATAATCATATAGAATACTAAACTGCGAATTTGCATTGTACAAGTGCCAAACAACAGAATACAACAATTTTAAACAATCTAAGGAATCTCATATTACGTTTTCTGTAATACAATGCTATGGAATTTACTGTGGTCGTGCAGAATCATGGTAGTAAATGTTTTAGTACAAGTGTAAGAAAACAAATTTATCGGTTTCTTTGTTTTTGAATTTCGCGCAAAGCTACACGAGGACTATCTGCTCTAGCGTCCTTAATTTAGCAGTGTAAGACTAGAGGGAAAGCAGCTAGTCATCACCACCCACCGCCAACTCTTGGGCTACTCTTTTACCAATGAATAGTGGGATTAACCGTCACATTTTAACGCCCCACGGCTGAAAGGGCGAGCATGTTTGGCGGGACAGGAATTCGAACCCGCGACCCTCAGTTTGAAAGTCGAGCGCTCTAACCACCTGGCCATGCTGAGCCGATTTATCAGTCAACGTTTCTAAATTTTAACTTTGTCTTTCTTTCAATATTTTTAACATTTCAAGTAGATAAATTACAAAAGGCACTCAGTACATGTACCTTGAATTTAGTGAGCAATTATGACCACAAGTAACTGACTTTTATAAAGTGTTTAGGAAAAATTCGTAAGCTAGATTATCGTGTTTTTTGCAACAAATCAAGAAACACAGTATTGGTTAAAGCATTAAGTTTCTAAATTGTTACGTATCTGCTCGTTTGTTAATTCCCGGTATAAATTCTTTCCGGGGAACTTCAGCGATACAAGTCCTTTCTTAATTAAAACTAGTTTATTC